TTACCTAGTTGCAGTAGGTAGAACTTCCAGTATGGTGAATAATATGGTAAAAATGGACAATCTTCTTTTATACCAGGTCTTAGTGGAAAAGCTTTCACTTTTTCACCATTGAGACTGTTGTAACTTTGGATTTGTTGGCTTTTGATTTGTTGAGGTATATCCATCTTTTTGAGTTTTTTTTTTTTAATCTTAAGTGGCTATTGAGTCTTATCAAATGTTTTTTTCAGTATCTAATGACATGTTCATATAATTTTTATTTTTCCTTTAGTTGTTGTGGTGCATTAACTTGATTGATTTTTATATGTTGAACCATCCTCATATCCACTTGGTCAGGATGTATGATCCTTTTAGTGAGCATTTGGATTCAGTTTGCTAATCTCTTGTTGAGATTTTTGCATCTGTATTCATCAGGGAAATTGACCTATAGATTTTTTTTGTGATCTCTTTGCTTAGTTTTGGTATCAGGATAATACTGATCTATAAAATGTGTTTGGTGTTTGGACATGTTCCCTTTTCCAATTTTTTTGAAAGCATTTAAAAAGGCTAGGAATTCATGTTTGAAGCAGTGGTGGAACTCATAGTAAAACCATCTGTACATGGATACATGTTTTGGGGGAGACTTTTGGTTACTTTTTCTATTTCTTAGTTATGATTGGTCTGTTCAGTTTCTCCATTTCTTTCTTATTTTAGACTAAGATGGTGGTGCATTTCTATGAATTTGATCAACTTAGCTGCATACAAATGCTCATAGTAATCACTTCCTCTGAATTTTCGAAATGTTTGTTGTAACTTCTCTTTTGTTTCTGATTCCATTTTTTTTTCTCCCTTTTTTTTCTTTAAAAACCTAGCTGGAGGTGTGTTTATTTATTTCTAAAGGATCAGCTTTTGGTTTCATTAATCTATTGTTAGGTATTTTTTATTTTAACTTACTTCTGGCCCTCCCTTGTGGCATAGTAGGTTAAAGTACAGCACTGTGAAGCTGGCCTCTGCCACTTCAGTGTGTGAGTTCAGTCCCTGCTGTGGAGGTGATCCACATGATGCACAGAACTCTCCTGTCTCGTCCATTGCACCCCTTAGCAGTGTACTCTGTCAGTCTGCTTGTTCTGCTCCCCACTCTGACTATGGTGAATCCTCTCATCATCCCTGCATTTCTGGCCTGTACTCTAGTTTGTATGCATAAATAATTTTTTTTTAAATGTTCTGTGATTTTGGCCACGTAGGGTTTTCTTTATTATTATTATTATATATAATAGTGTTTTGGTTTTTTTTTTTTTTACATCATTTTGTGCATTTTCCCATCTCAGTTGCAATCCCCTTGGGCTTCCCATCACCAAATCACCCATGTGCCATCACCACAGTTCAGTGCGTTTCCCTCCTCCCACTGTTTTTGATCCCATTCCCCACTCCAGTCCCACAAAATGTCTCTGCTATATAACTGTTCATCATTATCATTATTTTCTCGCCTGTTCCATTATGCTCCTGTTATGAGAGAAACCATCTGGTATTTTTCCTTTTATTTTTGGCTTATTTCACTAAGCATGATCTTTTCCAGTTCCATCCATGTTGCTACAAAAGACATGTGTTTGTTTTTTTTTTTTTTTGGTTGCTTAGTCATATTTCATTGTGTCTATATACCACATCTTTTTAATCCAGTCATCCATTTTTGGGCATTTGTGTTATTTCCATGTCTTTCCAATTGTGAATAAAGCAGCACTAAACATGGGGGTGCAGGTATCTTTTTGAATCAGTGTTTTTGTGTCTTTAGGATAGATACCTAGGAGTGGGATTGCTGGGTCGTAGGGAAGCTCCATGTTTAGCAGTTTGAGGAACCTCCAAAAAGTTTTCCATAGTGGTTGTACTAGTTTGCATTCCCACCTGCAGTGCAGAATTCCTTTTTCTCCACATCCTAGCCAACATTTGTTGTTGCTAGTTGTTTTAAGATGTGCCGTTCTCACTGGGATGAGGTGGTATCTCATTGTGGTTTTAATTTGCATCTCCCATATTATAAGTGATGTTGAACATTTTTTCATATGCTTGTGGGCTATCTGCATTTCCTCTTTGGAGAAGTGTCTTTGTAGCTCTTCTGCCCATTTTTTGATGAGGTTGTTTATTTTTGTTGAGTTTCATCAGTTCTCTGTATATTTTTGTGATCAACCCTTTATTGCTAGTTTTGTGTGAGAAATTTTTTTCCCAGTCAGTGGGATGGCTGTTTGTTTTTTGTAATGTCTCTTTTGCTGTACAGAAGCTCTTTAACTTGATGTAGTCCCATCTATTTATCCTTGCCTCCACTATCGTTGCATTGGGTGCTCTATCTTTAAAGATAGGAAATCTTTAAAAAATATTTTAAGTGGCCCTCCCTGGTGGCACAGCAGGTTAAAGCACAGCACTGAGAATCTAAAGCCACTTTCGTATGAGTTCGATTCCCGCCTGCCCCGGAGGTGACCACATGGTGTTGCAGACCTCTCCTGACCCGCCCGCTGCTCCCCTTAGCAGTGTACTTTGTAGATCTGCCTGTTCTACCCCCCACTCTGTCTCTGGTGAAGCCTCTTGCTGCCCCTGAGCCTCTGTCCTGTACCCCAGTTCTGTATGAACAAATAAATAAATCTTTTAAAAAATATTTTAAGTTACTTTTGCTGTTATGTTTATTATTTCCTTTTTCTACTAGTTTTCAGTCTTATTTGTTCATCATTTTCTAGTTCCTTAAGGTAGGAGCTATGATTTCATGTGAACTCTTTCTTGTTTCTTGATATGGACCTATATTGCTATAGAAGAAGTAATATTCCAAGATATCAATACTTGACAAATTGGTGTACAAGTTCAATACAATTCCTATCAAAAGCCAAGCTGGCATTTTTATAAAAATTGACAAACTGATCTTAAAATTTATAGAAAAATGGAAGGAGCCCACATTAGCTGAAACTATTTTGAAACAGAAAAATATATTTGAAAAACTCATACTTCCTGATTTCAAATTAATTTTAGTGTTTCCAGAATCAATAAAGTGGATACTTAAGTATGTGTTAAAAATAGACATTTTGACATTCCAGAAGTCAACCTTTAGGTATATGGTAAATTGATTTTTTTTTTAAGATTTATTTATTCGTACAGAACTGGGGTACAGGCCAGAGATGCAGAGGGTGAGAGGATTCACCAGAGACAGAGTGTGGAGCAGAACAGGGAGATCGATGAAGTACACTGCTGAGGGGAGCAGCAGGCGGGTCTGAAGAGGTCTGCCACGCCATGTGGTCACCTCCGGGGCAGGAGGGTATCGAACTCATGTGGAAGTGGCTTAAGCTTCTTTGTGCTGTGCTTTAATCCACTGCACCCCCAGGGAGGACTGGTAAATTGATTTTTAAGAAGAGTGCCAAGGCAGTTCACTGTGGGAAAATACATATGATTCTGGAAAAATTGGATCTTTTTCAAATAAGATATACAAATGAAAAACTAGCATATGAGAATTTGTTTAATACCACTAGTCATATGGGAAATTCAAATCAAAACCACAGAGATTCCATTTCGTACCGACTGAGATGGGGTGAAAAGGACAGGTAATATATGTTGGCAAGTATATAGAGAAGTTGGAACCCTCATATATTGGTAATGGTGACCACTTTGGGAACCACTTTTAGCAGCTCATCAAAAACTTAAGGCACCGTTTATCCCAGGTCCCTGGATATATACCTAAGAGAAATAAAAACATGTGTCAGTGTAAAAACTTGCATCTGATACTCATAGCAGCATTATTCATAAAAACCAAAAAGTGGAAACAAAGCAAATTTGCATCTGATGACTGGATAAGTACCACATTCATATTCTTACAATGGAATATAATGGACAGTAAAAAGTAATAATGCACTGATAACCTGTTCCAACATGGAGAAAACTTGAAACATATGCCTAAGTGAAAGAAATCAGTCACAAAAGGCCACTTACTGTTATTCTGTTTCTGTGAATTACCCAGAATAGACAAATTTATAGAGACAGAAAATAGTGGTTTGCTTGGGACTCAGAGTGAAGAGGGGTGAAGCAGAGGGGAATGTGGATAAACTGCTAGTAAGTATGGATTTCTTACTGGGGTGATAAAAATGTTGTAACCTTTATTGTGATGATATATTTCTGTGATTATATCACATGTAATTAAATTGTATGTTAAATGAGTGAACTTTGTGATGGGCGAATTATATCTTATCTTAACAAAATTGTTAAATGCTGCTAGAGATGCTGTCGGTGGTAATGTTGGTTTTTACTCTAAAGAGCCTGTCCAGTGACTGACTCTTTGTGCGTCATCCTGAAATGTGTGGTCTGAACCAACCGAGGCTAGTAGCCTAATAGTCCCTCCTTAAATTTAAAGCTGATACAAAATTAGGATCTTTGAGTAACGCCCAAATTTTCTGATTTCAAATCTGAGGAACTTTTCAGTTTACCACCAGGTGCAAGTTTCATAAAATAAGTAATTAAAATGCTCTTTTTAAAAAAAGCTAAGAAGTAATTAGCATTTTTAAATGTTGGAGTTTTTCTTTTATTACTTTGGTAATTGGGTCCTAAGAAAAAAGAAAACCAGTCTGATGCTTGTGCTTCTTAAATACTTCCACATATCATCTGGTTTAACCCTTCCATACCCTTATGAGGTAATCTTGTTACCTCTATTTTACAGATGAGAAAACCGAGTTGGGTAACTTATATAGGGTCATGCTGGTTTTAAGTGATGAAGCCAGGATTGGATTGCAGGTTTCTAAATTCCAATTTAGACTGTACTGCCCCACAGTACAGTCTGGATTGATTCCTGGGGTGCCATCTTCAGTCTTCTCTGGTCTTGTTTCTTGCACCTGGTTGCAGAAATATTGTAAAATTCCAGTAAATCTAAATGACAGATCTTCAGATCAAATCTCTCAGCTTTGAGTTTTATACAGTATGCATATAGTAGTTTTATGCTATCTTTTTTTGCCTTGATCATGGAAAACCAACAATCATATTTTTTTTCTTCTTTCCCTTACTTGCAGCAATGGTGAACTAGACCCTTGGTCAGGTGGTGGAGTAACCGAGGACATCACGGACACCTTGATTGCAATCACCATCCCAGAGGGGGCCCATCATCTAGATCTCCGATCTAACAATGCCTTAGATCCCACAGCCGTGCTATTAGCCCGCTCCTTGGAAGTTAGATATATGCAGCAGTGGATCCGAGATTTCTATGCTAGTCCAAGAAAGAAACACTGATCAATTTTCATCCGTTTCAGTTTTTTTCTTTTATATTCATTCTATCCATATTCCCACTCACTGTTTTTTTTTTCTTTACATAATTAATTTCCCTTGTTTATCATTAGATTTGGTGGGTCAAAGCTTAGGGTAAAAGAGAGGGCAATGGTGGTGACAGCAGCTGTCCCACACCCCTGGTCCTTGCCATCTTTGTACCACCTGTGGGGAGAATCTTTGTAACAGCTTTTCCACACCATCAAGGGCTCTCTTAACTGAAACAGAGTTCCTGACTGCTTTTAACAGAGGGAGAGTTGAGTTACTTCTTTGTCTTTCTGCAAGCAGGAATTTGTCTTGGTTTTGAAATTGAAGTTTCCTTGGCCCATTTATCACTCCCCACCACTACTTTCCCAAAAGGAAAAGCAGGAGATAGATAAAAATGATGTCACCAAAAAAAAAAAAAAAATGATGTCATTCCAGCTGTGGGGAGAATGTGGTCCCAGTCCAGGAAATGGGAACCTTTTCTGTGTACCTGATTAAGTGGCTTTCACCTGTGCTGTAAATAAAGCCTGAGGCTGGACCTTCTCTGTGTTGCTCCTCAGACTCACTCCAGCTGTTGCGAATGCCATGTGCACTGGGCTTGGCTGGTTTTGGAGAGTCATTTAATATTCTCTCTTCTACTTGGCAGCTTTTCTTAGTTCTGGGATATTTGCCACTGTGGCAGTGCCACTAAGAGAACTGGCCTTTTTCTGCTCCATTTCTTTTGATTTCTAAGGTCAGTTCTGTGGTAATTTGGTTAAATTCTGCCAGTTTAGGAAAATGACTGTTTTGCTTTTCATTTTGTATGTGATCCAACTTTTGTATTGATGATATTTTAGTAAGAAGCCTTTAAAATTGATGAATCAGCTATTCAGGAAAAATCTAGTTATGTGCAACATTTTATTCTGTAAACTTTATTTTCTGGTGTTTGTTGCTGCTGTCATTACAGCCAGAAATTGTCAGGATATTAAGAGGCAGGTGCACGAGAACTTTTCTGTATGACTTCCAAAAGACAAGCTAATTCATGCAGGCAGCATATTTGACGTTAATAAATGGCTGAGTCGTTCCTATTTCTAAGGGGTTGGCTTCTTTCAAGCAGTTCTTACACTGAGACCTTTCTTCAGAAGAGCTTTTCTAGGATAACAAATAGGGTTGGATCAAAACCTTTCAGGGGCACAGAGAGAGACACTTTCTATTTTGTTGAAAGATTTCTTTCCCCTTGTTACTTTTTTTTTTCCAATTATTTTTTTTCTTTGCCCTGCCTTAGAAACATTTTCTCCTTTTTAAAAAATTGTACCTTGAGCTTTGTTACTTCTGTAGCACTTATTTTTATCCTGTGCAAACACAGAGTTCTTGGATGGGTGACTGAAATATTTACCTTACTTTCCCTGGCATCTGGAGGTACAGAAAAATCTTTGTTCAACTTCGGAAACCTCCAGTTCTCATGAACATTTGGTCATTTTTATTGCAGATCATAGAGCATTTGGTCATTTTTATTTCAGATCATAGAAAAGTCTGGTAGGGCAGGAATTTAAAAGTCAAAACAATACTAGTGTTTCTTTGTCCACAAAGATTAATACAGTATATTCTTACTTAAGGTACTATAGATTTACGGATATTTTCCTTAAGATCTTTTTTACCTGTTTAAAAGCCTTTAAAGTGCTTTGCCATACCACTTGGTATTGATTGTTTGGATGAGTTGCATTATTGGGAAGGAAAAAAATTTCCCAAAAGGTGAAAATATTTTTCTGCATGTGTAATTTTGCCCTATGCACATTATTTTCTTTGTACATCTCAGGTTAGATAGCAACCTAATTAGAATATGTTACAATTTAATTTTATATTTAAAAAGAATTAGAATAGGAGATAAGACTTATTATTTAAAGCATCTCTCTGCTTAATTGGGCATGCTTTTAAAAGACAGGGGAAGAGACTTAGAGATTTACAGTGTTAAAATTTTATTTTCTGCTTTTATTACATTAGTTACCTGAGTTAATGGGTAGAACTACCAAAACTTAGGGATCTTTCTTAAAGAATCTGTAGTGTCAAGAGATTATCTAAGGGAGCCAGGGTCTAGTCTAGCATATCAGAAGGTGAAGGCACCTTGTACATCAAGTCCATCTCTGTTGTCTATAGCTGGTGGCTTTGCAACCCAGAGAGAAGAGACTTGTCTAAGGACTCAGCTCATTCTTGGCAAAATCCAAGCCTTGGATCCAGGTTGGCTGATTGTTATTTTTCACTTCATTGGTGTGGCTTAATGTTTGCATTCAAGCAACAAAATCTCACCAAACCACCTTACATGAAAGAGGAAATTTATTAAAACTACCAAGGAATAGCTCCAGGACTTGAATAACTAGGAATCATGAAAAAATGTAACTGGAGTTTAGAAAGCATTAAAAGTCAAATGTTTTCTTTTTTATTTCTTTGACTTTCAACAGAGGTCACCAGTTGTCAGTCTGTGGCTGGGATTTTGTTCCTCAGATATTTATGGTTTGACCGGGAGTCTAAAGTGTCTGCACGTGTCAGAATTACCTGAAGAGTTTATTATAACAGTGATTGCTGAGTCCCATCCAGACTTGTAATATATCCTTGGGTTGGATCCTGTAGTCTTATTGCTAGCCAGTTCCCAGGTGATTCTGGGGAATCACACCGCAAGACCCACTAGTTGGAAGAATTCGCATTTGTACTTTTGCATTCATGGTGTGCCCCTTCCGTTCTCCACCTGTTGTCCTGCCCCACCCTGAGTGTGGGAGCCCTGCCTAAGCTGCTCTTCCCATGCCTGTCTCATTCTCTGTGAAGATCAGCTTCCTCTTTTCTCCTGGCAGAAAAGACTTCACAGAATGGTGTTCTCAGACAGCAGGGGCTTGGGGAGAACGAGGTCATAAAAGCATGACTGTACAAACACACTGTTTAGGATGGAGGTTCAGCCATTCAGGCAACTCAGTAGATGTACATCTTTGAATAACAACATTCTTTCACTGTAACATTGATGCCCAAAAAACAATCCTGACTGATGACTTGCTCTCATATATCTTTTCTCTTAAAGTTAGTTTCCAATAACCTATTGATAGCTGTTAAGAAAGGCTTTCCTGTGTATCACACTGTGTTTCTTAGAACATGGTGTAAACAAAATGCCAGTAACATGTAGTAGGCCTTTAAGTAAGTTTGGAAAATGATGGGTTAAGAAGTTTTTATTTTATCTGCAAATATACATTATGATTCTGTAATGGTAACTGAGAATGCAACTGTTCGTATTACTTACACAGTCAGCATGCTACAAGGCATAAGGTCTGTGGGACCTGAAGCATACAGTGGTAAAAAAGGTAAACACAACAGTTGTTCTAATGTTAACATTTTAGTGTGAGAAATACATGCAATATCATACAATGAATTGGTACAATTTTAAATCTATAAAGAGTGAACCCTATTAGGACATTTAGCAGAGAATATGAACTGGTCTGTGGGAAGAAGCGATAATTTTCTTTGAGATGTGCCATTTTACCTGTGATTTGAAAGATAAATAGGAGGAAGAGAAGTGGTAAAAACTATGCATAAAAAAACAAAGTGTCATATGGTCAAAAAACAATCCTGACTGATGACTTGCTCTCATATATCTTTTAATGGACCAATGTCAATGTAATGGCAGAGCAGACAACCACATCAGTGAATCTGGAGATGTAGCAGAGGAAGGCTCATTTAAGGAGATTGTGATAAGGAATGAGAGACCATTGATGCTCCTTAAACAGGGAAGTGACAGGGTTAGATTTTCATTTGAAAAGATCACTGAGGTTCTAGAGCAGAGTCTGTGCTGTAGGGGCAAGCATGTGATAGAGGAGGCCACTGTTGCGGTTGTACAGCACCTTTGACTGGTGCATGTGATACAGGAGGCCACTGTTGCGGTTGTAAGAGAGCACCTTTGACTGGGTTGGTAAAGGCTGAAGTGAGAAAGAATTTGAGAAAGGTTAAGGAATGTCAGAGGGACTGAGTGGTAGGTTCTATATGAGATAGGAGTTGGGCAGGTGTCGAGGATTATTTCTGGCTTGTGCACTTGGGGTAGTTGGTGCCACACACTGGAAAAGAGCAACAGAAGGTAACCAGGTTTGGCAGGAAGATTTAAGTTCAGTTCTCTCATGCTGTGTTTTGTGCATTTTTGAAATAATCAAGTGGAACTAGCTGTCACAAAGTAGGACAGTTCTAGATGGAAAGATCTGGAAGAATGGACTGGAGGGCCATGGTGAACTGATGCTAATCATAGTATGAGAAGTAATTTCAAGGAACCAGAGTCCAAGAAACTCTTGAGAAGCTGCTGCTGTACTGTATCAACCATGGCACATTGTTACATAACCCACAAATCTAACCATTCTACAATTTTAGGTGTTTATGACCCCACTGACCCAGTCTACTATTTAAACCCTGGGACAGCCTTTGCTTAAATTGGGGCCTATGTTTTGCACTCATTTTTTCATTTTTATTGCTGGTCTGTAATTTCCTAACACCCTGCACTAGCCATATTAAACTTCCAGTCATTCCAAAGTACTGCTCTCTCAAATTTTTCTCAGTCCCTCCTTCCAATATGTTTTTACTAGCAAACTGTGTATCTTCAAAAGTCCAGATCGAGGCCTCCCTGGTAGTGTGAGAGGTTAAAGCGGAGCACTGTGAAGTTATCCACACCCACTGCAGCATGAGTTCAATCCCTGGCCAGGGAGACCTATCCTCTCTCACCCGCTGTTCCTCTCAGCAGTGTATTTTGGTTGATCTACCTGTTCCCAATCTGTCTTTGGTGAATCCTCTTACCTCCCTGCAAAATTAGTTAAAGAATTCATACTGTGCACAAGATAAAGCAGGAGAACTAACCTGGAGAAACCTAAGAGGAGCTTCCTGAGCCTCAGAAAGGGAAAAGTGTAATGTCATGGATGAGATCTTCACTTTCTCTATATTGCTTAAATATATACATCCATTGCTAATTATGTATTCATCCTTATAATAATCCTTCAGTCAACCTTTCAATCAGACCCTTTCTCTCTAAAGCGAAGTCAAAATGCCAAAGTATAATGAACAAATAGAATAGTGGTGGATATTTCCCTGCTACTCTGACTTAATCTATAAATAGATTATACAGTGTCTGGAGGGACACAGTTGGTCAGAATCTTCCCAGACAAATGTTTCTTGGGCAGATTAAATACTTTAGTAGATAGTTGAATTGGAAAAGGAGTAGTACTGTATACCTTAAATGAACTAGTTTGAAGGCAGAAAAAAAGAAGCTCAAATATTTGAATAAACCATTAGCTGCTGAGCCAAGGCATCTGACAGCTACGTGGAAATAGCATGAGGACTAGCAACCAGATGCTGCTTCTGCAGGGATGCTGGCATCTGCTACCAAACTTCCTCTGATTCTGAAAGGTTTTTTTTTTTTTTAAAGTTTTTTTA